ACCGGACATCAAGAACATTGATATAATAAACATCACGCAATCTAGATCTCTTAAGCAAAGATGGGGTTAAATAGTGGCAAAGAGCCAAATACGTATAAAAAGGCAACGAAAGCCTGAAGAGAAGGCTGGGGCAAGGGAGGGAGCGGGAAAATTCTTCTACAGTACCGAATATCTGTGTTCGGATGCTGGCACGCTGAGAATAAAGGCGAGAAGGACCAAGAGAGAAACTGACCTTGCCTATAACCTTGGTGCTATTTGATCTGACTTCATTTGATTGGCTTAAGATCTGTGATTGACAACGCTCCTTGCCCCATGCAAAGGCACACCTAAATACTTAACTATATATATGACGGGCCTCGAGATAAAATCACATTATGCGTATGTCATAATGTTAGCCTTTCGAGGAAGATTTCCAAAATGCTACAGTCTAGTCAAACTGCCAAAATGGCGCGGCACATTGTTCCGGATTTTCTTTATATGAAATTTGTGGTTTGATTACAGAGACTTAATGTGTCAGCCTTTTTAATTACGGGGGCTGTGGAAAGGAAGACAAATGAGCGGTTGCCGCAAATAATTACTTCTTACTAACCAAGCGTGAGGGCCGTACTGAGGATTATTGGCCCAAAATCGTGGTAGTATGGACGAGCGCAGCGAGGTCCGTTCAAAAATACAGAGGGCCAATATTTCCCAATACAGCTAAAGCAAGCGATGTTACTAAGTATTTTATCATAGCGTTCGGAAAAACTTCTCTAATTTTAATTTCTCGGCTTTCGCGAACAAAAATGTACGGCTTATGACCGCTTCCGTGGAAATGGTACGTATGGAAAAATCCAGATCAACTAAGAGCTAATCAGAATACTCGGATTTACCTCAAGACTGTTCTGCCATATAGTAACCTTCAGGCTCGAGGTATTTTCATTAGCAGTTTATTTTCTCCCTGAGATTTTTTGTTTAAAAATATATGTCCTTGCAACCTTTTTACTTCGTGCTTGTGTTATTCTGCTAGATATTCATTGTTGAGAAAGTCGCGCATGATCACAAGTTTGTTTTATTTTTATAGGTGTGGTCGTTAACTCGATAGAATTAGTTTTGCTTAACATACTAACTGCCATTCCTTTTTTTAGATTTTGACATTCAAAAATTATTGAGTCAGTTTCAGTGACTTTATACACCGATTATTCGCAGCTTCAATGTCCGAGGCAACCCACAGGCTTTTGACTGTCGTCCTCTAAACCTTACCTGGGTGGGGTAGGGAATTTGAAACGAAAACGTCAAGTCTTCCCAGTGGAATACTGGTCGGCTAAGCACATTTGACCTGCCGTTAAAGATGATTGAATTTTTCTCTTTCAAGTCCACAATGAAGCTCAAGTTTACTCCAAAACTTTCTTAACACTTGTAGGTGTTCGAATACGCAAAGAAAAACAGACGCCCTCCGCTAGCTTAAGGAATGTTATTGTAAACAATTCCGCCATTGGAAATGTATGAGAATTTGCAACGAAAGCGAGATAAAAACCAATCTACTGTGGTTAGCTATGCAAGGCTAGCTTACTATATTGATTTCTTGATCGACCACGGTGCTAACTTCTAAAATGTGCTTGGAATTCCGGATTTAACCACGGGGTGCCTAATTAGATTATGTCGTGACGTAAATGACGATGTAGCAATTTTCACAAAGTTCATCCTGGTTTTTCCGTGCGGAAATGAAAATTTCCAAATTAATTTTTATATCGTCGAAAACAACACTATTTCCACTTATCATGGGTTTAACTTGAACCGATTCTGAGTTATACCGCACTGTGAAAAGGACAATTGAAATTTTGGTACAAAATGCGATATTTGGATTTTGAAATATTGGGGATTTTTAAAAGCGTTCCGTGATGTCAAAATTTAATGAAACGGTCCCATTTTAAACTTAAGCCATACCTCAATCCCTCCCATAAAAATCTGTCGAATTAATATGGGCTTGCTTTCTTTTGCGCTTTTCATGAGCAAAGTTCATTTGCCTCTACTCGGGGCACTGATTTCCGCAATTTTACGTCTACCGACGTTCGTTTCAGTTTTCGTGAATTTTCAAGAATAATAAAGCAAGTCTGAGAAAAAAAAAAAAAAAAAAAAACTTACCACGTTTCTAATTTTACTTTAAGGTATCTCAGGGAAAAGTATGAAGATTTTCAATATTTCGATTTTCACTCGGTCAATTCAAACATTCGCACATGTGATGGTCAAGTGTTAGTTGACCATCATTAAAACGCACTTGTGGGTAAGATAACATCCTAAGCTCTGACAATCACAATGGTATATTTCCAGATATCGATGAATGTACTACAGGAGAGCACAACTGCAGTCCTGATTCCGTGTGCAGCAACGTGAAGGGATCATACAAATGTCAATGTGAACCTGGATATTCTGGCGACGGATGGACTTGCGAAGGTAATGAAGTAGATATTGCCGGTTACATACTATAAAGAACCGTATGAAAAGCTAAATTCTACATTTTTCGTACATTGTTTAAGAGACGACGGAACGCGATCAATAATTGATATTCCTATTCAGATATCAATGAGTGTGCTACAGGAACCGATAACTGCAGTGCTGATGCTGTGTGCAACAATACCAAGGGATCGTTCAACTGTACATGTAAAACTTAACCTAAATATTTGGTAGACGGAAGAAATTGCAAAGGAGGATTTTATATACTTACTTTCATCGGTGAATTCTGACTAATTCAGTGGAGGGTCACCCATGAGTTAAGCTGAGCCTACAGGGAAATTTCTGAATCACAAAATGCAAATGATAATTTTAAGTAGGCCATAGTTTCTTTCGGGCGAGGCGGTGTGTAGAGACGAGAGTGACGTAGAGACAAGAAAGAGGATATCGAATCTGTGGCATCCCCAAATTGTATTGCTCTTGGGAAAAGTGTTGTACAGTATTTGTTAATTTTTTCTGCTCATTTTCGTTTCTTATGTACTTTAGTTTTTACCCTCTTCGAATTTACGCAAAATAGGAATAAGAAATAAAGTTATGAATGACCATGATAACTCTTCCCCTAGATCCCATAAGCTTTGATAACGTTGTACAGATCTTGCGACTTGCCCTTTTGTTTCAGCTACGATTTCAAGCTGCAAAGAAGCTTTTGACAGGCAAAAGTAAGTGCGATGTTAAGAAGTAATTGATTAATTTGAAAATAACGTAATTTTCCCCGAAATTTAATCATGTTGTTCTTTTTTTGTATCTATTTATCAGTTGAAAACTCAATTTACAAGTAGTATTTCAAAGTGACGGATACAGAGCACGGGCTAATTTATCTATTAATTTTTCAAAATCCGATTTATCTTTGATAGATTAAGCGTGAGTGGTGTCGTTGTTCTCCATTTTGACTTGATGCCAACCTCCGTTTTCTGTCACGTGGAAATAGATGGATGTGGAAGGGGAGCATGGACCCCTGTTATGAAGATTGATGGCAACAAGGTTTTCTTTAAAGTTATTTTTTTATCTTTTATCGATCTCTCTTTGTGGCATACAAACAGTAACCTTTAGCCCCTTGAAAAATTTATTTTTAAGATGTTGAGTTCAAAATATGCCACCCTTTTTCTATCACTCAGTGAGTATAAGATGTGGGAATGGATCATGGCCTTTTGGTGAGAACTTCATTTATGCTAATGATTCATCTTCTTAGTATGGGAAAAATTAGAGATTTCAAACGATTTGTGTTATGGTTTGCGTATCCTTAAAATAATTAAAACTCTTCATTAATCAAGCTAGAAGGAAATCTAAGGGTAACTTGTTAATTGTATGGAAGGGCACTGGCGATCTATCATTGAGTGTGACTCGCTCCTAATGAACTCATCATAAAAGCATTAGAACTCTTACTACACTTTTAGATTTTCGACTTGATTTTATTGTTGTTTTTTTTTTTATTTTCCATCATGTTTATATCGGCTTACATTTATGACTTTTTTGTCTGTGTTGGTCGTTGTTTGTGACTGATTTATTTAGCTCTTTTTTAAAAAACTGTTAATTAAACGATAGATTTCTTCAATTCCCCGAACAGCGAACTTTCCATCATAGCTCTAATTTTTGGATTAACAACACTGAATATAACCCTCTTGGGGGAGAGACTGGGTTTGATCAAGTGGAGACCAAGTTACCGAGTTATTGGCACACATCTTTCTCCAAGATCTGTCTCGGTATGGAGATCAACGAACAACTCAGGTTCATTGTCATCAACATGCAAGCGGATTCCCTGTACTCACTGATCGCTGATGGGCAATATCGCAACACCTCATTGGGTCGCGACATGTGGAAGTCACTGATTGGTCCTCAGGCTTCCTCGCAGATTTATTGCAATAAAGAAGGGTTTAATGTGTACTCAGAACAGCCATACTGGACGGATAGAGCTGCTAAAGCAAGAATCGGGTTTGTCACCAACAATGCCGATAACTGCGGTGATGTCGATACCAGAATCGGGTTTGGTACAGGAGGGCCGCATGATGACACGAACACTTGTGGAATCGTTGCAAACAAGACCGGTCTTGATAATGGGCCGAAGTTTATTAAAGCCATGGGGTACATCTTGGTGCAGTGACGATTGAGAACTGTACATGCCGTGATACATATCATGAACAATAGCAACGACAAAAACCAGACGAAGAGTGCATGCCTCAATAAACGCTAATTATCTGTACAGATTATCATGCACACTGATGAAACACTATTACAAATATAAAGCAGTATTATGAAGATGCATTCCCAGAAACTGAGAGCACATGTACATAGGGAATAATACATGGGCGTGCCTGGGTAAGGAATTCTCGTGTTCGACTCAATATTTCACTTGGTCGCTGCCCTCACTTCTGCCGAGATATGGAGTTGAACAAGATAAGACTAATTCCATCTACAAACAACCATGTATTATTTTTGTTTATTATAGGAACACCAAAGGCCTTTACCGACCCTAAAAGTCGACTTTACTAACGAGTTAAAGTAAAGAGAGTGAAAAGAGCACATAAAACTATTGTCAGTCGGGAAATCTGACAATTTTTAAAATTAATAGCCACAACTGATGTATAACCTCACTCAAGAGACATTGATTTCGCTCTTTAAGGGCAAGTCTTTCAAGTAGATGGCTTCCAAAATATAAAATTTCGGCTGTTATGTCTCCGAATTTTACGTTCTAGCTGAGTCTAGGTCCAAGTTGACCCTAGGTACTGCTAGATTGACACTTTTGGTCAAAAAATGTATTACTTTTTATCCGTGTGCCCATGATTGACAAATAAAAGTTCCGCGGTCACAGTTTTTGCCAAGTCATTTGGTGGAGCCAAATAAAATTTCGTCAGCAGATTACACGCGGGCCCTAATGTAACATCATCATTTACGTACACGAATGTTCAGAAATGCACTCGGGTTAATGTTACTTAAATTAGAATTTCATACATCAGGCTAAATTCAGGAAAGTATTTCAGAATTATTAGAAATAATAGATAATGATAAATGGTTCTTCCGGCTCATTTAGATTTTGTACTGACAGGGAGAC